GAGAATTTTTTTCTGCATCTTTTCGATTTTTTTGTGAATATTTTATATATTTTTCGTGATAGACAATAACGTAACTATACTACGTCTGTAATATTGGTAAAAGCGTTGTTAGATTAAAACCACCAATCTGAAGACTTATATATATATTTTTCCAAGATCTTGAAAGCGAAATATCTCTTCGGCATATTTTAATAGATTCTATTTTGCAAAGAGATGACTTCGGAAAGCACCTCGGACGATGTAGGTCTAGCAAGATGGGCGCCAGAAATGCCCACTGTTCAGGAAATTCGCGAATCTATGCAGAATTTTGGTACGCCGGATTATATTGTATTTGCTGGGATGTTGGTCGTATGCGGCATTGTCGGTATTTATTTCGGTTTCGTAAAGAAATCTTCAGGAGAAGATGAATATCTAGTCGGCGGGAGGAACATGAAAACATTTCCAGTCAGCCTCAGCCTACTAGCCAGTTTTATATCAGGTATAACAATATTTGTATTTTTTTTATATTGTAAATAGATCATAAGAATAAATTGTAAGAATAAATCATATACTTGTATATACACCCAAGATGGTATAACACAATTTTCTTAACATTTGTTACTTATTTACTTTACTTATTCTTGTTATATATGTATATATAACAAGATATATATATATATATATATATATATGTATTTATGATATGGAAAATTTCCATCAAATTGTTAATTGTTTCTATAAGACACTGCTATACTTTATTTTTAGATGGTAATAAATCACTAGATTAGATAAGAAGATAACAAAGTTGTAAATATTCTGTCACAAATGTCTCAAATATGATAGTGAAATATACATTGCATGGATTACATTATGGAATATATGAGACATGCACAATGTAAACATATATGTATATAGTCTTCGAAACAAAGAAGTTTGACAAGAACTTTATTAAATAATTAAACTACAATATAATATAACGATAAAATGAAATATGTAAAATATTATAAATGAATTAACTATTTCTTTTCATTAAATATTAATCACTTGTTAAAATTTGTGAAACTTGATAAAAATTATTAAAACTTAACAAAGTTCTTATCATAGAATATAATTTTATTCTTCGTTATTTAATATTAATTTAAGAATCTTGCCCATTTTTTTATGAGTTCTGAGCTTCTTGCGTATACTTATAGTAACGGAACTTACATTAGCAAAATAAAAGATTATTGTTAGAAGATTAAAATGTTTCATAGACATAAGCCTGTAAGCTCGACGCTGCTCAGAAATATACTCTTTGAAACATTAGACACGTACATTGGCACATTTTGACATGAAATTTAAAATATCTCTAAACTACTGATTTTTTGATAACTTTAATACTTTTATATACAAATAATTAGAAAAATCGTATTATATGTAAAAAAACATATAATTATATTTAAAAAGAATTAAGACCTTGAGAAATCGATTTCTTCGATTTTGACGGTTTTTTCCCAGATAGCACAGAGCTCAAAAAGAATTCAGTTGTATCAGTCGTATGTCATCAATTCTGAGTTAATTTTCAGATCTTCAAAAAGTATTTTGAAGAAATTTTGAAGAATTCTTTTTGCACCTGAAAATAAACATAGAATTGATGACATGATTAAATATATGAATGAATTTTTTTTAAACTAGCTTTCTGTGCTATCTGGAGCGTTTTCAGCAACGAATATATTTCAAGTAGCAAGATGATGTCAAATGTACGTAACACGTCTTAACGAAGTCTCTAACGTCAATAAGACATGTTATTGAAACGTTATATATATTTGACGTTAACTTCGCGTAACGGTTATAACACGTAAACATTAATCTATATGCAAAACGTGTTACCGCGGTCACTCACCCGTGTTTACACGTTAACAATTAAATAAAATAAAGGTGATCGCACCGCGCCTTGATTCGAATTCGAAGATTCGGAAATTTTTTTCTTTTTAAAGGCGGATAAATTTCCCAACCGACTTTTCGACTGTTCAGTCGAGGAATGGTGCATCGTTTACAAGTAAATGAGATATATTTTGACAGTACAACTGATTTGTTTGGTGTTGTACAAAAATTTATTCAGGGATCTTGTCGACGATGACTGTTCGATGTTCTTATCTTTCTTTCCAAAAAAATTCTTTTATAAATCTCAAAAGTACACATTTATTAGTATATGGAAGACTTTTACATAAATACTTTGAGAAGTTCTCAGGAATTCTAAACATGTGCATGTTACTTCTGGTTTTCGTATATTGTATCCATCTATGAATTCTTGAGGAATAATAAACAATAACTTAAACAATAAGAAACGAAGAATACTTACAGAATATTTTGAGAATTCCTTGTCTGGAATGTCTGCAAAACGTTGAAGAAATATTATAATTTAACATTCAAGAACATTGATTCAACGTTTATTTAATATCATATATATAACTTCCAAAAATATCAGGTCCCTATTTAAGTATTTAATCTTTAGTATCTTTACACAAAAGCTTAAACAAAATAATCTCAAAATACAGTTTATTTATCAAACATATTAAAGTAGAGGCCTATATAGAAACCAACACGGATGGTGGTGTGTGATAATTTTTTTACAATATCCAACCAACACGTAAACTGCGCGGCGCATATTCGTCGGTCTTGAAACACAGTATAGTTCATTACATGAGGCCGGAATCACTTGTAACAATTAAATTGATTAACGATTTAATTTCTTTGATGCTAATATTCATCTACAAAAACTGCAGTTTATTTATTTTCATTTAAGAGCTTTTGGATCTTAAAAAATTATTTGGTTAGAATGTTAGATGAAGAATCTTATAAGTAATATTGCGCCTCTTATTCTATCTTGTACGATTTTTTATTTATGAGAAATACAATTCCACAATACATTCATCTGGTATACTGCTCCTTATAGATAAGCAACTTCAGTTTCGACGTTGCAGCAATTAACAATTAAATCAAATAGATAGAAATAAAGCCAATGTAAACCAACACAGGATGAACGTACGTGTTTAAAATATATACACTGTTTCAAAAAATTAGGGGATCACTTTTACTCAGTAAATTTTTGCCCATTTTTAAACTTTGGTTACTCAACGAATAATTGACACAAAAAATAGATCAAGAAAGGATTTTACAGAGCAAACTCTCTACTACAAGATGCCTTTGTTTAATTTTTACTCAGTTTAATACTGAAAGGTGTGATAATAGCTTTGAATGAAGACGTATTTGAGACATCTAAAATCTCGAAATTCGTGGTCTTCCAGCGCCTAACAAAAAAATTGACGAAAATAATCATT